CCGCGGGCTCAGGCAATCCACTCACCTCAGCCTCCCAAAGGCGCGGGATTACAGGCTGCAAAAATTTTTTTTTTGAGTTGGAGTCTCACTCTGTCCGAGGCTGAAGAGCAGTGGCACACTCACGGCCACTGCAGCCTCAATCTGCTGGGCTCAGGCAATCCTTCCATGTCAACCTTCCGAGTAGCTAGAACTACAGGCACAGGCCACCATGCCCGGCTAATTTTTTTTTTTTAAACTTACTGTAGAGATGAGGTCTCGCCAAGTTGCCCAGGCTGGTCTCAAACCCGCGGGTTCAGGCAATCCTCTCACCTCAGTCTCCCAAAGTGCTGGGATTATAGACGTGAGCCACTGTGGCCGGCTGTGGCTAATTTTTTTGATTTTTTGTAGAGATGTCTTGCTGTGTTGCCCAGGCTGGTCTTGAACTCCTGGGCTCAAGCAATCCTCTCCCCTTGGCCTCCCAAAGTCCTGGGATTATAGGTGTAATCCTAGCCTGTTGAGGTGATTTTTTTTTTTTTTTTTGAGGTGGAGTCTCACTCTGTCGCCCAGGCTGGAGTGCAGTGGCACACTCACAGTCATCCCAGTGTCAACTTGATGGGCTCCAGTGATCCTTCCACCTCAGCCTTCCAAGTAGCTGGAACTACAGGTGTGTGCTACCTTGCCTGGCTAACTTTTTATTTATTGTAGAAACGAGGTCTCGTCAAGTTGCCTGGGTTGGTCCACTCGCCTCAGCCTCCCAAAGTCCTGGGATTACAGGCCGAGCCACTGGGTCTAGCCTGTCAAGGTTTTTACAGGAGGATAGTTTTTCTCTAAAGACAAATCTTAGCTAGTGCATGTACTTCTAAATGGTAACCACAATGTTTGCAAATGACAGTTTCCAGGCCTCCAGCTTGGGGTTGATTCAAGTTGGCCCAGGCACTAGGAATGAAGTCCCTCAGCATGGCTGTAAATGAGGGGAGCATCCTGGGATGTGAGAACACGGGACGTCTTCCCTGCTTGGGGCTGCTCATCTGCGGTGTCATGGTGGGGAGTGTAGCCCCCCCACTGTTGAAAGACT